ATCGTCGCGATGCCGGGCTCAGTACATCTTCCTCACATCACCACAAGCAGCGATGAACGTAACGAAAATGCGCAAGGCAATCCAGGGAATAAAAGAAAGCAAAAATTACAAGAATCGAAATGCCAGAGGCATCGCCGAAAGACAGGCAACTCCGCGATGTGCAATGCAGGTCGCCCGCCCTACCAACGCGGATTTTTGAGCTCGCGTTGATTTCTCAAGGTAAGTTTGAAGAAGTAAAAAGGAAGAAGAGAGTCCCAGGATTCAGAGCTGGAGTTTTGTAGCTTGGGGTGTGGGGCTTTCGGGTAGTGTGGGGACATCCGTGATTACCTCAGCAATCTGAGATTGGTAACTTCCGCCATCCCGTGTAACCAACTGCCTAAGCTCCCTGTAACTTATAGAGGTTTAGTGGGGTGGTCGCTACCTTTCTTACTTGAGCAGGTTATTTGAATGATCCAATACCACAAAGCTTTTCAGGAAGCGTCAATCATGAATTATACTTCTACTACAAGAAACTTCTACTATACCATCCCTTATACAAGCACTAATGTGACCTAGACCCTGTATCTGAAATGCTTGTTCTGTTTGTCCGTCAGATCCTCAAAGCCCTCCATTAACTCTTCCTCTACCTCCGCATGTTGGCCTAATTTGTCGCGCTGTCGGTTGTCAATCCAACACCACGAAGTGTACAACCCTTGGAGTACGATGGCAGCACAATACGTGCCAAGTAGGCCCTTGATCGCCGTTGGATATCTTGGTGCTTCATTGGATAGAAAGAGGTGTGGACCAATAATGCTAAACGTATTAATGTTAGTTAACATCATCGTGTTATAATTTTCTGCGGTTGAACTTACTTTCCGACGACGAAACACACAAAGTAAATACCTATGACGGTACTTCTCTTGGTATGCCCAGCTATATTGAGACCGGGAATTGTCCAATTCAATATAATAGGCGATCCGATGACGTTCTCCAACCAACACATAGCAACAAGCGCATACCGGTGCTCGATGTTAATAGTCAAGATACCAATGAGTCCGACCATACCGGGTAAACAACCGATCATGGTGGAAATACCGACCATGTTAGGAAGTTGTGAGAGTCGTCCTATCAAAAGACAGAATACAATTTCGAATGCGCCTCCGGGAGCTTGCAGCAGAGATGCTCTTAGGGCATCGAAGTTAAAGCCCTTAATAATCGCCGACATAAAGTTGGTCACGGCGCCGTTGAGAAGCCCTAATGCTATTGCTGTCAACCACAACAGATAACATTTCCCATCTAACAGAGCCTCTTTAATTTGATAGGGTCTGATTGTCGAATCCTTCAGGCCTATTTGATTTTCGGAGACGCGCCAGACAGCCACAACACGCTCATACTCTGTTAGCATCTTTGCATTATGCGGTCCGTCGGGAAGGAAAAGTAAGATAACGAATCCCCATATGAAAGTAAGCCCGCCGACGATCTACACATATATTCGATTAGCTACTATTATAAGGTTCCTGGGGAGGGATATCCATACTAGGAAAATCAGCTTCCATTGGGCTATGGATAGTCCATTAGCTGAACCGGAAGCATAAGCTAAGAGTGACCCCAGGATATTAGAGACACCATTCGTGCATAGCCAAATGGAGCTACGCATCGTCTGCTCCTTTCTCGTCCAAAGCATTGAGGTTAGGAGAACCCAGGCCGGTGAGATACAGGCCTCGAGCATGCCCAAGAAGAAACGAACGGCAAAAAAGCCACTGAAATTGAACACGGCAGCTTGCAGCATGCATACGATTCCCCAGACAAACAACATGCCGCCCACCAATTTCCCAATGGCAATGCGCTGTAGCAACATATTCCAGGGCCAAGCTCCACACAACCAACCGAAGTACAACGCGGAAGCAACCCATGAATAATCGTCACCCGTCATTTTGGTATCGCGCTGCAAGCCGTATGCATTAGAGTAGTTCAGACTAGAAACAATCAGTATCAGTCGACCATAAACGAATTCATCGCCAACCATACGTTTGTTTATCGAGGAACGACAGCATATATGTGGTCATCATCTGCATAACACATTTTCCGTTAGGAACGACAATTGCCGAATATAGAGCGTCGACTTCAATTAACATACCATTGGAAGCACCAGAAGATCCAGCTTCCATCGAACCTTGACGGCGTCTGCTTCAAGTTGGGCCCTATCATATTGAAGCGACTTCTGTAGCATGTCTTTACCCAACTGATTGAGATCATTTCGCCGGTGGATTAGACGCTGTAGCGCATTCTGTTTTGGTAGGTCGAGGCCAACACCAGGCTCGATGTCAACTGGGCTCTTAGCGACCGAAGGCTCATTCTTCTCGGACATTTTCGCATCCATTTTGAGAGTAAGTCTCAGAAGAAAATGACCCCCTCACAAGCTTGCGAACGATGAGGAGCATGTTAAATGCTACTCCTCACTATCCTGGTCCCACGTGGGTGAGATCATATTGACCTTTTCTACTGGAAGTCCTGATAATCAATACTCATGCATGATAAGATCCTTGCTATACTGAGATACCCAGTATCCATTGGCTGAGGTTGGGGGTGTCACATCGCCACTTTATCTAATCCATCAACATTGAACTGAGTGTGGAGAAGCATCGTATATCGCCTAGCTACGCGCTGAAAGAACCTGGGGTCCAGCCAGTTAACCTTTCACATCTTCATATAATCGAAACATTATCTTGGTAGCTATTCGATTTTGAATCTATGGGTGAAGGTAATTTGCGAGGCAGAAATTCATTAGATAGGCAGTATCCGATTTCAATAACGATAAGAGGGGCAAAACAAGTTAAAGAAGGATTTCTTGGGGCTTCTTGGTATAGATTATCTGATAATCTAGCATATAGTGGACCCAGTAAGAGCAGGGCTCAGCTATTATACCTACAGATGGCGATAGGTTCATTATATCCTTTGTTAGGAACCCCCCTCCCATCTCCAATCCTTCGGATATCCACGCCGATGAATACCCCACACTTCCGAGATGGAGGTATCATTTCTCAAGGTAACGCCGTATGCCTACGTGAGGGGCCGCGCCTATTTGAACATACTTTTACTTGATGTTTTCTTACAAGATGTCTATTTTGGACATCTCGGATATACTAGTGTTTGAAGATGGGTGACAGCAACGTTCCGGCAACCAGGAAGTCCTGGAAAGAGCTTCAAGCAGCAAAATACGCAGAACGAGACTCGAGGATCCCATCGGAATGGAAATTGAAGAAAGAGGACTTTCCGCCAGAGGATACAGTTGACCTTCGCCCCTTTGTTAATTCGTGCGGGATCTTGTCTCCGACAGAGCTGTCTATCACCAGCGAGGAATATGATGCAACTTCACTAGCCGCCGCCATTGCTGAAGGCAAATTCACTGCTTTAGAAGTTGTGACAGCATTCTGCAAACGTGCCGCGGTAGGCCAACAGCTATGTAATATGCTTACAGAGATCATGTTCGCAGATGCGCTAGAGAGGGCCAAGGAGCTGGATAATATCTTCAAGAGCACAGGGAAAGTTGTCGGTCCTTTGCATGGGGTTCCGATGACTTTTAAGGAGTGCTTCCACTTCAAGGGGTATGATTCGACTAACGGATACATGTCTCGAGTCTTTCAACCGGCTGATCGCACCTCACCATTGCCGGAACTCCTACAAGCTGCGGGAGCAGTAGTCATTTCGAAGACAAATGTACCGCAGACCATGTTAGTTGCAGAGAACGACAATAATGTATTCGGACGTTCCAAGAATCCCGTAAACTCTCGTCTGACTAGCGGTGGAAGTAGTGGGGGCGAAGGCTCTAGCCAGGCTTTCCGATGTAGTGCTCTTGGTGTCGGCACGGATGTTGGAGGATCGGTCAGGATTCCAGCTGCTTGTAATGGTGTCTATGGTTATAAGCCCAGCTTCGGAGTCATTCCAATGATCGGCTACTCCTATTCTGGCTGGACGGGATCCAACACAGGAATCCCGGCTGTCACCGGCCCTCTAGGACATTCGGTCCGCGACCTCGATCTTTTCACCAGCATAGTCAGAGCCGCGAAGCCCTGGTATTTTGACCCCGCGGTGATACCAAATATCATGGAGTTTGATACCGCTCCGCGGAAACCTGTCATCGGCGTCATCTATGAATCCGGACTGACACCTCACCCACCTGTGCGTCGGGCTATGCGAGAAGCCGTTTCTAAGCTAGCAGCTGCTGGGTTCGAAATCAAAGATTTCAACCCACCGGATTTCATCGGTATCCGCGATATCTCCGAACAGCTGTTCACCCTCGACGGGCTCTCGTACCCAAAACAAGAGTTCGCCAAGTCGGGCGAGCCCGTGGTCCCAAGCGTCATGAAGATTGGATTCTGGGATATCCCTCCTAAAACGCAAGAGGAGGCGTGGATGTGGAATACGAAGAAAGGGCAGGTCCAGAAGGAGATGTTGGACGAATGGCAGCGAGTAGGCTGCGATGTCGTCCTGGCGCCTGCTGGTCCTCACACGGCCGTATTGCCTGGTGATTGGACCAGCGACATCTACACTGTGGCTTGGAACGTTTGCGATGTATGAATCCCCCAAGCTAATGAGTTACTTAAGCGAAGATCTAACGTTGTATTCTTTTAGTACCCTGCCATCATTGTGCCCTTTACTCATGCTAACCCAGCTCTCGATCCAGTGGACACCGAATTCAAGCCTAAACACGTAGCTGATCAGAAGAATCAAGATATGTGTATGCAATGCCCCAACATGCAATTCCGTGATTTAGCGGCTAACATCTTATACCCTAGATGATCCCGAGCTTTTCAAGGGAGCGCCGGTAGCTTTGCAGATAGTCGGACCAAGACTCGGGGATAAGCAGCTACTCAAAGATGTTGAATTACTTGACAGTATTCTAAACGGTACTGCTTAGTTTTTGTCTACCTACTAGGTAGGTAATTGTTTACTAAGCTTTAGATAGGCATCTAAATGGCCGGCAGTACCAATCATGTGCGGGCCTTTCCGCCTTTATCAAACCCTTGGTAGTCTAGTTGGTCGTGGCGTTCGACTGCAATTGTCATCCGATCTTATGATATCACAATTGTTTATCGAAACGTCACCGGTTTGATTCCGGTCCTAGGGGATTATTTTTCGTGTTTCCTTATCCCTTTCTGGTTCGTGTTCTGGTTGTGTGTAGCTGAGCAATGCTGCTGTGATACTAAGCTAAGGCTTAAGCTTCTTTTAGTCCCCAGAATGGCGCCCTACTTTCATCCAATGGGGAGCTTTATGTACCTCAGCTTGAAGTTTGGTGAATTCTAGGGTCCTTTCGTACGTAAAACTAGGTAGACGTTTGCAGAGGACAGACGGCTGCAACGTGCCATCGACATATAGCTATGGCAGACACGACAACCACGTCGATGCAGGGCTATGTGAGACTCGTATGGTAATTGAGAAAACTCAACAATTCGTTGTCGGTTTGTATGCGTCCTAAGCAATAAATCCCACCAACAGTGATCGATTCAAGATCTGATTGCATTTAACCGGGACCTTCCGAGAATTTGTACCTATCAAAGCACGACAGGCACCTTCCGAACCCTTGCGTTAGCTGAAGCTTCGTATTTTTTTCGATCCAGGAAATCGGGACGAAGAAGAACAAAAAGAATAAGTTTATTTTTATCGCGTGGTACTACCTACTCCGTTGCCAACGTTACCTGGTGGCACGATGGCGTTTTCTTCGTGCGTATACGGACTTTGAAAGTTCAGCTTCGGTGCGTTCTGAAGTCGTACTTAAACGCCCGGGACGGGAGCTTGCATTTTTCTTATTACGACACCATCATCACACCGCCCCAAGTCTTCTCTCTTCATCTAAACAAGATAATCCTTCACCGGTCTCGAACACACTTGCACGCCAAGAAAAAAGCAAGAAAGACATCATGCAGTTCAAGGCCAGCCTAGCCACTCTCGCCCTAGCGACCGGCCTCGCAGCCGCGAACGACCCCAACCCATTCGTCAGCCCGCTGCAGCCGTGGACGATGTCCGACTTCACGATCTCCCTTCCAAGTTCGCAGGAGGGCGTCAACGGCAACGCAGCCATCAACCTCGCAATCGCCAACCCGAACGAAGTGTCCGCAGGCCCAGCCCCCTTCGCCGCCGGAGGCGGGTACCTTACCTTCGCGCCCAGCGCAGCGAACTGCACCGCTTCGGGCAAGAACAAGGCGTCGGCCATGAACTTCACGTGCACGGAGACGACGGAGTCCTCGTACGGGGTGTGGGCCGTCAGCCTGCAGGACGGCGGGGCCGGGGCCGGAGGAGCCATCGACCCGAGCTCCATGAGCTTGCAGTTCACGCTGACGTACAATGTGACGCGCTGGGGCGCAGTCTGGTATAAGGTGTACGAGGGCAGCGCGCGGCTTACGACCGATGCCAATTTGATCCTGGGGAAGTGCCAGAACCCGGACAATCATTGCTCGTACACGCTTAACCCCGATAAGACGCCGCTTTTTGTTACGCCGGCGATGACGGATTGTAAGGGTACTTGCTCGAATAACCCTTAGGGTGATGATGGTCGTTCATCTTGAGGGACTCTAGTGTGGTGGGGATAGGGGTAAGGGGTAAAGGGTTTGGTTTAGGGAGTGGGGCTAGGGATCTTCGGAAGGGGAAAGGGGATATGGGCATTTCTTAGAGGTTTTTTGGAGGACTTTCCTTGCAGTCATTCTCTCTACTCAGTTGAAGACGAAAAAGACGAAGATTTGGGAAGCTTTCAATTCGGAGCGTGTATATATTAGTTAGATTATCTCGCTATTGAATGAGGTCATGAGGTCGATGAATAGGGGTAACAAGACTCCATGACTCAGTCTCAATTTATAAAAGGGGACTTCAGATTTTGTGGCTTTTGGGAAGTGAAATGATAAATGTTTGTAAATCTTATTAGAGATGAAACAAGATATAAGTTCATTTTTATTAGGTAATTAGTCGATTTTCTCAATTATTCCCATGTTCTTAGGTTGTTGCGACAATTAACTTCGATATCTCATCTTCGTTAAAGAGAAATGCAAGGGGCTCCGAATAACATCAGCCCCCTTTCCTGCTGATCTACCACGAGGAACCTACTATTATTCGAATTACAAATTACCAAACATAAATGATCTATAATTGACCAAGTATATTATGCCTGGCAGCCTCCTTTTTAAATTCCATTTAATTTATATAAATTGGAACTTAACTCACCGAAGAAGCTCCCGTATCACATGGTGTTTGACGAGAGTTAATAAATTTCTCGCATCTCGTTCATGTGTGTTTGCTATATATATTTGCCGTAACTCTAGAACTACTTGAAGGTGCCTTGGTTGAGCACGCGCGGTAGGCCTACAATAAGCGCGCAACTCCGTGCAATGGCTTCCTTTAGAATCGCGGTAATTGGCAAGAGACGTATTATTAGAAATCTCACTTACCTTATAGACGCGAAGACGCGAAGGTGACGATAAAATAAAGTAATCGGCGTTTAACTTTGAAGCAAAAACACATCAGCCACCTATGAATCCCTAGGTATTAATATAGGGTAGACTACCGACAGCTCTGGAATGCGATCGGTGAAGCGTACATCACATCAGATAACCCAAGCGAGCGTGTACCCGGGCCGTTAACACACCTCATTCGCGGCCTGGGAAAATACGGGAGAATGAAGTGCATCCGGTGGGTTTCACGACATGACGCGCGTTAAGGGAAGTTGGGCGGCACAGTGTTGACGACTGGTTCAAGTATAAGAGATCTTGGATATCCGACGATGCGACCACCTAGGTTTGTAGGTAGGATATGCAGATGGTGAAGCAAAAGGACCGGGCAGCGGAAAGTGACGAAATCAGGCTATGAGGAAGAAAAGGGGATTCCGGACGAAGAGATTCCCAAGATGGTGGAACGAAGAAATCGATGCTACCTTTGTACATGTAATTGCACATGTACATGACATAATACCTGCCTGCTTACATTGGACGCACCTTCCAATAGGAGGCGCCTGTTGTGGACCCTTAACTTGACCCTTAACCTTGTCATACGGGATCGGATTTACTCGTTTGCCCAAGCCCTTATCCGATATCCTTACGTAAGGGGAAGTATCTAGAAGAACTTAATTAATCTGCGACGTGGAAAATGAGATTCGTAACAAATCGTAATTCGCACGTGGTCACCTTTCTTCTTTTCGGCGGTAAAATCGCATTCAAAATGGGAAGAAAAGTAGAGTTAACATCTGCCGAGTTCCAATTCCCATGTTTGTATCGTCCCCACTTCGCAAAACCTGTCGATGGCTCGATTAGGTTAATGCTCAAGAGCCACTTTCTGATTCCTTTCGTCATTTGAATTCGGCAGTTTGAATGCCCCATTGTGCCATACCATCGTCACCAATGCCAAATTCCAAACGCCTGGTCTCCTCTGCCAGATCTCCCTCGCTGGTGGTCTAGATCCGCTGAGGCTTGCAGTTATGGGTGGCATATACTACAACCAACTATGCAGTGCCTCACCTAGAGGGACACCTGGGATGGAATTGGAATTTCAACTTCAACTGGTCCAAGAACAATAATACATTCATATCGTCGTGTCGTCGGTGGTACGACAGTATATTCGCCGTGCTGATCTTCGATAGGTCATCTGCAACTAGCCCATATGCCATATGCCGAAATTTGATGTTAAGATCCGACGTTGTCACCGTCGCCTTTGAGCTAATCACCATCTTTAGTTCGTCACGGGTGAGAGCCGCATTGACCCCCGATCGGTCCTAAGGTTGCTCACTTTGCCGCCACCTTTGACGAGGCTACTCCCTTCCTCTAAATGCATGTCGTACCTATTGTCGACAAGGCAACTTCCAAGGTTACGGGATAATCTATACGCCTTGGTGCTTAAGCAGGAAGCACGTTCCCGAGAAGGGCTACCGTGTCACTAGCGACGCCCTGTAAACCTAACTACGCCGGTTGATCATTACGGCTGTGACCCGAAACATGACATATTCCCCGAGTCGTGGCATCGAGTTCGTGTCTAACTATAACTGCGAAATCATTGGGCTATTCATCTGCCGAAATCACATCTAATACTGTCCGAAGTCTAAAGTCGAGCTATTCACATGTCTACCAACTTGGCGGTCATGGGTTTCCCTATCATTCTCCTTATTTCAGCACTAAAACCAGGCACTTCGTCTGTTGGCGGAGCCAACGGCCCCCCTTTTCCCCATCGGTGGGTCGGCGGGGGGACCCCAGAGGCTTGGGATCCCTGATAGCCTAGCTGGCTATGAGCGGGATCTCTAAGCGCGTATGGGACGAATCTAGGAAGGGCTACGACGTTCGAAGAATTGATCTGGGGCTCTGAATTGCCGTCACAAGCGTAACGGTCCTTTTGTAATTCATATTAAGTACAAGTGTACCTTGAACTCATCGTTTGCCTGCCGCCATCCTAGTTGAATAGGCCAGATGTAGGTACCGGCCACCACTATCTCGCCAGAACATTATTAAGGAACGCCGAGTTGCCTGCGGGATAACCGACAAATAGGTTCACATATATACCCACCTTGGCACGCGTTGTCAGCAGTTCCTAATACTCGGCTTGCGGCGCTTCTACTTCTAATCCCTTCGAAAGACTGTACGGTTTCCGGGTTTCTTCCGTTGACTGTATTTCTGAAGTCGGCGGCCCTCGATCTCGACAGCCAAGAGAGCCCAGGGGTTTCAACAACCTTGTGGCGTTTTGCTTACAGATTTCCTATCATCTTTAGGAAACCGGTCAATCCCTAATTACAAATCTCTTTCAAGCTCGAGATCATTGTATAAGAGCAAATGAAAGCTCGAGGCAATGTTGAGTCTTGAAAACTCCGTGGTTGGGAGCTTCATAGCTCACTTCTGGCTGCCCATAATAGTATCAGTGATTGTTACGTGGCTAGTCCGGAACCGATACCACAATGGTCTGAACAAATACCCAGGCCCTCTTCTGGCTTCATTGACGGATCTGTGGCGATTATGGGATGTCTATGGCCAGCGGCCTGAAATAACGCATCGAAAGTTGCATGCGAAGTATGGTGACATCGTGCGCTTAGGCCCTAATACTTTGTCCTTCGCGAATCCAAAAGCCCTCAAGTCGATTTATGGTCTCAATAAGGGATTTGTTAAG